TTCCTTCCTTCCTTCCTTCCTTCCTTCCTTCCTTCCTTCCTTCCTTTCTTTCTTTCTTTCTTTCTTTCTTTCTTTCTTTCTTTCTTTCTTTCTTTCTTTGTTTTAGTTGAGAATAAAAGCAAAATTTTATTGAAATCCATGAAGTATCATTATAATTTCATAACTTTGGTACATTTGACATTTGATGGTTATGTTTTTCAATATTTTAATTTACCTTTGAAGGATTATAAAAACTGCATACAGACAAATTTAACATTTTTATAGAAATACCTAACATTTCAGTGGTGTACTGATTTAAAGTGCCCCTTGCTGTGAAACCCCATGACGTTCATAGAGGACTTCAGGTAGCAGGTGGACAACTTAAGTGAAGACCAGTAAAACCAGCACATCCTTGAGGAAATCTTCACTTCCCAAACAGACACAGCTTGCTTTACTGCTCTTCAGTTTATTTCACTTCACAGATGCTGCCTGCCTTACAAACTGATGACTTGTGCAACTCTATCACATTTTCCCAAAAATATATGCTCCCTTCATGTCTCTGCACCACATTTTGATAATTCCTCGATATCTTAGTCATTTTTGTCATTTTAAAAAATATATTCTTCTCTCATGAGATACCTCCCCACCACAGATTCCTCTCCCTCCACTCCTCCTAGCTCCTCCCCACATCCCCTCCACCCCACATCCACTCTCCCTCTGTTTGTTCCCACCTCAGAAAAGAGCAGGTTTCCAAGAGAAGACAACCAGACAGGACAAACCAAGATACAATTTGAGACTGGAAAAGGCAACCCAATAGGAGGAAAAGAGTCTCAAGAGCAGGCAAAAGAGTCAGAGACACTGGTTCCCACTATTAGGAGTCTCACAATAACATGAAACTAACAGCCATAACATATATGCAGCAGATCTGGTGCAGACCCATGCAGGGCCCAGGCTTGTTGCTTCAGTTTCCATTAGCCCATGACCTCTGCTATGATGATTTGGTGGCTCATATTCTCCTGATGTCCTCCATCCCCTCTGACTCCTACAGTCCTTCCTGCCCTTCTTCTGTCGGCTTCCAGGATCTGTGAGCAGACATACCAAATGGGGACTTTCAAATTATTCTCTCTCTCTCTCTCTCTCTCTCTCTCTCTCTCTCTCTCTCTCTCTCTCTCTCTAACTAATGTCTGGTTGTGGGTCTTTGCACCGGCTCCTATCTGCTGCTGGAGGAAGTCTCTCTGATAACTACTGAACAAGGCACCAGTCTATGAGTATAGCAGAATATCATTAAGAATCATTTCATTGTTTTTTGTTTGTTTTGTTTTGTGTTTTTTTGTTGTTGTTTTTTTTTTTTTTGTCAATTATGCTTAATTCTACCGTAGGTCTCTGGACTATCCAGTCTCTTATTCCTGTCCATCCAAGAATTGTAGGGTGTGGGCTTCCTCTTGTGGGATGGGCTTCCAATTAAAGTGGACATTGGTTGGCTACTTCTACAAGTTCTGCATATCACATCTGCCCCAGCACATCTTGTAGGTAGGACAGATTGAAGGTGGAGGGTTTTATGGCTGGGTTGATGTCCAGACTTCTCCTTCCATAGACTGCAGAATATTTTCTCCACCAGCCAACCCTGCAACAGCCCCACCTATACATTCAATGAGCTGAATGGAAGTTGTACTTGGCAACATAGTCAGATGTCAGTTTTTAAAGAGCAGTCTTGTATGCTAGCATCATTTTGAGTTGTTTAAGGATTTCCATGCAGCTTCTTTGACCAACAACTCAGCCAAATGTAACCCAGTTCTGCCACTGGAAGCTTTGCTTGGTTATGAAAGATGGCTAGTTCATTGTCCTGTATCCTCCATTACTAGGAGTCCTCACCAGGGTTACCCTCATAGATTCCAGGAAGCTTCCACTACACTAGGTTTCCACCTCCTAAACACCCCTCAATTCCAATTATCTCATCCTGCACTCTCTCATTCCATTCCCCCAACCTAAAACCCCTTGCTTCTGTTCTCACCATTAAAATCTATTCTATTTCCCTTTCCCAGAGAGATCCATGTATCCTCCATAGACCTTTCCTCTTTAGGTAGCCTCTCTATATCTACAGATTATAGCTTGGTTATCACATACTTAACAGCTAATTTCCAGTTATAAGTATACCGTTTTTTGCCTTTCTGAGTCTATGTTACCTCACTCAGAAGGATTTTTTATTTTCTTTTAATTTTTTCTTTCTTTGTTTGATTTTTTGTTTTTGTTTTGTTTTGTTTCTCTGTGTAATAGCACTGGGTGTCCCTGAACTCACCTTGTAGACTAGTCTGGCCTAGAACTCATAGAAATCTGCCTGCCTCTGCCTCCCAAGTTCTGGGATTGAAGATGTGTGCCACCGCTATCTAGTTGGATTTTTTTCTTGTTGCATACATTTGTTTGCAAATTTAATGCTGTATTTTTTAAACTGCTGAGTAATACTCCAATGTGTAAATGTATCACAATATCTATTCTTCAGTTGTGGGACATATAGGTTGTTTCCAGTTTCTGAATGTTATGTATAAAGCCACAATGAACATAGATGAGCAAATGCCCTTGAGTTGGATAGAGTGTCCTTGAGTATATATGCTCAAGAGTGGAATAGTTGTGTCTTGAATTACGCTGACTTCCAACTTTCTGAGAGACACCATATTGATTTCCATAGGGGCTGTACAAGTTTGCACTCCCACCAGCAATGGAGGAGTGTTCCCCTTGCTCCATGTCCACACTAGCATGAGCTGTCACTTGTGTTATTGACCTTAGCCATTCTGACAGGTGTAAGTTGGAATCTCAAAGCTGTTTTGATTTACACTTCCCTGATGGCTAAGGATGTTGAACATTTCTTTAAGTGTTTCTCAGTCATTTGAGTTTCCATACATGTATTCAATCTATACTGATTATGTCCATCCACCACTACCTCCCTCCAGATCTGCCTAAAGTCTTCTACCCACATTCATACACACACATAAAGTAAATCAACACATACTGAACAGGGACACTGTGACCTGAAAACACCCCCTACTTTTTCTTCCACAGAATAAGAATAGAAAAACAATCACTGTAGAAAATATATGAAAGCCCTTTGAGTACACATAGGTACAGCTAAACCATGAAAGATTTTACAACTCTGGAGCCCTTCATCATGCAATAGATTGAAATGTTTGTTTATTTATCACATATTAACAACCATGTATTTTTGCAGTTTGCATATAAAGTGTCTTTGTAAATGGTTTGCACATCAAGGGTTTTATCCTAATCTGATGCCACTATTGAGAGTGGATGGGAGCTGAAGATATGGATCAGTGATTGAGAGTCCTGTTTTTTGTCTTTATAGGAGATGTGGTTTAGATTCTTGACACCCACATGGTGGCTTATGACTATCTGTCTATCTATAACTCCAGTTCTAAAGGGCCCGATGCCCTCTTCTGGCTTCTGTAGACACCAGGTACATATATGGCGCACAGATTTTCGCAACAACAAAATATCTATACATGTAAACACAAATAAGTCTTTAAAAACAAACAGTAGATTGGATTTAGAAAGTGCTAAAGATACCAATGAATTGATCCACTTATGAGTTCATAATAGAGTGGCCTATTAATGGGCATTAGTTGGAAGCAATAGGTCATTGGGAACATGTATTTGACGGATATGACTTGTCTCTGATCTCTCTCTCTCTCTCTCTCTCTCTCTCTCTCTCTCTCTCTCTCTCTCTCTCTCTTTCTCTGTGTGTTTCTCTCTCCTTTCATGCTCCCACATTCTGCCTTTCGCTCTCACATTTCTTATTCTTGCTCTCTCTGCTTTCCTATTGTCAGGAAGTGAGCAGCTTTGCTCAGCCATGTCCATTTCACCAAGATATGTGCCTCACCTCAGACTTAGAGAAACAGGACCAAGGAACCATGTATGCAAATCTCTGAAAATACCATCCAAGGTAAATCTTTTCAATTTTTAAATGGTTCACTTCATACTGTGTTTTTGAAATTGAAAGTTGACAGGAACAATATTGTATCCATTTTCATTTCATCTGACAGTAATTTAGCCAGGGCTCACTGGTAAAGTGACAGAAGGCAAAATGTGATTTATTTTCTGTAAATAAACTTTTATTGAAAGATAGCTATATCTATTTGTAGATGCTGTATATATATATGTATGTGTATGTGTATATACACACACACATATGTGTGTGTGTGTGTGTGTGTGTGTGTGTGTGTGTGTGTGTTGTCTCTGGTTGCTTTTGTGAGCTACAGTGGCAGAGCTCAGAAAACATGGAGATTCTGTGGCTCACACAATTCAAAACATTATCACCATGTGAATTCTATATACATCCTGATCTATCTATCTATCTATCTATCTATCTATCTATCTATCTATCTATCTATCTATCATCTATCTATCTATCTACCTATCTACCTATTTATCTACCTACTTACCTATTATCTATATATCATCTGTCTGTCTGTCTGTCTGTCTGTCTGTCTATCTCTATCTCCATTTATCTCATTTCTTTTTCTTGAGGTAGGTTATCATGATGTACTCCAGCTTTTCTTCAACTTACAATCATCTTATCTCTGATCTTGATTCCTAACAATGATTTATAGTATAGCTGCAAATAAATTCTACAACAGTGTTTAAATAAATACGGCCATGGCATGGAATCTGATGCTTCTCATGAATCACAAAGCTTAGTGCTACTTTGAGAAAAAGAAATTAGACCAATATTTCTTATGGGCAAATAAAAGTGCTTAACTATACTTTGCATGGGGTTCCTGATGGAATATGTGTAGGTTAACTACAAAATCTGTCACCTAGTTGGTAGGCCAGATGGGAGGATAATATGCTACCTAGCCTGCACAGTAGAAGAACTACATTAACCCCCTCCCCCAAAGTCATTATTCTAATTTCTCATTTCATTTGAGTCTCCAGCTATCCTGAGTACTGTCAACTGACTTTGAAATGTTGTCTTTTCTCCCCATCTCCTTTCCCTGTTATCTTAGGATGTCTCTCAAGCATGAAATAGGCCCCCATGCCAGGTAACAGTCCTGTCTGACCCTGATCCATTCTCATACTCCCTCCCTGCCACACAAATACAAAGTCGCTGGCTGTCTTTACAAGGAAGTCTTTAAGTCTTCATGGCTTTCTCTTGATCCTTCACTGTGTGTTCACAACAAAGTTCACAGATTTTCTGTTGAGTCATAGCTACTGTAGTGAACATTTGGAGGAAAATAGTGAAGCACAGGAATTAAAGAAAGAAGGGGTTTCTTTCCAAAGTCTGCCCCCACAGTGGCTCCAGATGATCTCCTGATCAGCAAATGCTGAAGTTTGTGTATGAACCCTTCAGTGGCAAAAGAAAACAAGCCACCCTTATTAGAAATTCTGCAGCTAGAGATGTAACATCATAGCTAAATTCAGTCGGAGACAGGTTGAGCAACAAAAACCAGGAGCCAAGGCAGTCTAGTCGGCTCTGAAATTTGATTCAGGCACCAGATTATGAATAGATTTAACTAGTTCACCAAATGAAAATGTAGATTTTGGCAACGACTGAATTTTTTTTTTTCTGTGGGGGCGGGAATATTCTATATGTGAAGTCTCAGAATGCACAGAGGGATATGAAAAAGAGCTTTTCATATTATATAGCTACTCAATGTAGGTTAAAGGAAAACAATTAACTCGATAAATGCCAAAAACTCAACCTTTTTATTAACTTGAATAACAATCTCTCTGATTTATATTGCTCTGGGATACAAGCTATCTTTTGTGATGTAAAAGAGTACAGCACTAACCAGCAATCAATAGCCAAATACTGACACATGTGACCATATTAATTGGGACTCATCTGGTCTGCTTCCTTTGCATGGTAGCAGGGATATGACAAGAGGCATAAACCAGCTCATTGTCAATGAGCACTTAGAAACCAAGTTTCAAGTGTCCTGAGCTTTCTCAGATTCCCTTTCCTTTCCTGGTGAAGGTGATGTGCCTCAGATACAATGCACTCCATTTTCCTTCGGCTTCCTGAACAATGACATTCAGATCATTATTATGGTTTTGTGGCAATGATCAAAGATTAAAACAATTACAATACAGAGATCCACCTGGCTCTGCCTCTCAAGTGCTGGGATTAAAGGCGGTAAATTTGAGGCCAGCCTGGACTACCAAGTGAGTTCCAGGAAAGGCACAAAGCTACACAAAGAAACTCTGTCTCAAAAAACCAAAAACAAAACAAAAAAAAAAAAAAACAAAAAACAAAAAAGAAAAACCAATTACAATAGTTAATCCTGATACCTCAATTTTACAACCCATTTCTCAGTCTTAGTCTTACATTGTTTTCCTTCAACATAAGTTCAAAATTGTCTTTTAAATATACTATCTTAGTATCAAAAAGTTAGCAACATTGAAAACATTTGCCAAAACCATTTAATATATCCAAACCAAGTGCAATACAACACAATTGGTTTCTAAAAGTATTACCAGGAACATTGTCAGTAACTCTTGGAGATTAATTTTCACTTCTAATATTTCTTGCTTGAAAGATAGGTATTAAGGTAAATTTGTTTCTGGTTGTATTTGAGTGTGCGTGTGTGTATATATGCACTTGTATATGCATGTGTGTTTGTCTATGTGTGCATGTGTGTCTCTAAATTGGAAGCCTGCTGATCATTTCAGCAGAAGAATGTACCCTTTGAGTCATGAGAGAGGGAGACTCTCAGGCCCTGTGTTCTTAAAGTCATTGTACTAAATGATAGATCATGGTTTAATGGCAAATTCTGGCTTTATCATTGTATGGTTCTTTGACTTTTATCACCTTTGTTTCTACTTCTTTCTAAGACTTGAGATTTTCTCCAAAACATTAGGGTACTGACTTTAATCTAATGATGTTTCACACCTTGTTAGAACTAGTATAGAGTCTCTAATGTAAGATATAAATCAGTAGGTATAAGCCAGCCATAGTGTATAATGGAAAATAGTGTTCACTCAAAATGAACTAACCATTTGAAAACAAGCAAACAGATAAGGAAAACTTTAAGTTCAGAAGATTCAAGCTTGCCAAAAGAGTAGAGAAAGGAAAGTGGGTATCTTGGACCATGTTCATAAAATACAAATCAAGAAAGCTGACATATATATATATATATATATATATATATATATATATATATATATATATATATTCATATGTGTGTGTGTATGTATACACACACTCACATCCAGTATAACATTCTAGATATACAATGTGTTGTAATGGGCTCATAACACTTTAAAATCTCCATAGTAAACAAGATTTTACCAGTGCTGTGGTTGGTAGAAATAGGAAATAATTTTATATATTTAATAATCAGTCCCCAGTTGATGGAAATGTTTAGGGAAGATTAGGAGATGTGGCCTTCTTGGAGCTTGAGTATCACTGAGGATGGGCTTTGAGGCTTCAAAAGCCTATGTCATTCCCAGTTGTCTTTTAGTCCCTGCTTGTGGAACAGACATAAGCTCTTGGCTACTGCTCAACTGACAATGGTTACCGCTCCAGCACCATGCCTGCCTGCCTGCTGCCATGCTACTGACCATCATGATCATGATTCTAGCCCTCTGAAACTGTAAGCAAGCTATAAATTATTTCTTCTATACATTGCCCTGATGTCTTATTACAATAGAAAAGTAGCTAAGACAAGTATTAACCATGATTCAGTGCTGTGAATGAGAAGAATCTACAGTGGTACCAGTGCCAAGCTGAGCTGAATTAAGGCAGCAGGGACCATTTGGCATTGGAAAGTTGTATACTTTATTTAGTTTCCCTAACTATTTTCATAGAAAAGACATCACAAGCACAGAGACGCAGTGTTGGGCCAAAGTGATGAAGTAGTCAGATGGCCATGGTAAACTTTTTCCTGGTGTTTGTTCAATTGCTCATTTCACTTAAATCTGAAGTTCTTTTAGATTCCTATTGATAGTATCAGGTGCTGCCAGGAAATGCTCTATGTCTAGGAACCCGGCAACATTCTGCAAACACCTAATTTCTCCTAAAGTTAGGATTTAATAAAGCACATAGAAATTTCACCACTTTCCAAGCCAAACATTTCTATTACAGCTTTAGACTTTCTTGGTTAAAGAAGGTAATCATGCAAGATGTTTTCTTGCAAAATTCTTGGAGTTAGAGAGATGGTGGTTAAGAGCACTGGCTGCTCTTGCAGCACCAACATGGCAGCTTACAACCATTTGTGTGTCTAAGACAGAAAAATCCTTGGAAACTCATGGACCAACCAGCCTGGTGCACACACTGTTGAACAATAAGTTCTGTCTAAAATAAGGTGAATATTAAGGATAGACACCCGAGATTGTCCATTTTTCTTCATCTGTGCAGTGGCACATACATGCCAGCACTCACACATGAACACTCTGCCCACCTACATGTACACACACATCACACACACAGTGTATGTTTCTTCTCTTATCCTCCAATTCTGACACTGAGAGTGAATCTGGGGTGTGGAATGTACTCACTACACCAAATTTAACATCTGATTCAACATTACAACTGATCTGAAATGTCCCCCAATAGGGTTTTCATGTGACTGAAAATTTTCTTTCTAAATTTTTCTGCTATTGAATTAGTTCCTTTATAGAAATAAATGAATTCTACAAAATGGAGGTTTTGAAAAATAATGATTTATTCTTTAACAACTTAATATATATTCACAATGTATTTTGATCATACCCTTTATTTCCCTCTTCTAAATTAAACTGTTCCCTGAAAAATGTTCCCCTTCAGACTTTGCATCCTCCTCGTTCTTTTAAATACCTCACTGAGTCCAATTAGTTTTGCCAGCATGCACATAGATATAAGGCCATTCAATAAAGCATGCCTGCCAGTGGCCATACATACAAAGAAAAATGGCTCTCTTCTCTTGTAATGATCAACTGCCAAAAGTTTCTCAGCTAGGGAAG